TAATACTGATAATAAATAATAAACAGAATAAAACTGCGTACAAATTTTTTTGCAAGTTGCAAATCATTAAAACAAGGATGATCGTAATAATAAAACCAAAATACTTCCTGTTATTTAATAGTTAATAATAATAACGACACCTATAATTATAGTTCCAAATACCTTTTTTTACATTTTAATTTTTATTACTTTTATAATACCATATGTAATTAAATCAATTAATTTGTCATTAGAGGGGAAATATTTTATATAAAAAAAATTAAATCTGCATCGTAAATGTGTAATTTCGTAAAACGGAATAAAACAGCAAATTTTCACAAAATCTAAAAGAACTGACTGAAAAATAACGAAAATAGCGTTACGATACGTGACAACACGAGCAGTAAAATTTAACGAGAACATCAAAATTTCATACCCTCGAAAAACCAGAATGTTCGAAGTAAGTCAGTCCAGCAAATAATCAAAAATAACTCGATAAATTAAAGAAATCGAACGTGACAAAGTATCGTGTTTAACTAAACTAGATGGAAAACAAACTTCCCTACATCGTGTACTTGCAGAAATGAAATACAATTACCTTTATCCTTAAGCACGGTTACGCAGAGAAAATAACGACCTCGAATCCAGACCAAGTAACTACGCTAAAATTTTCATCCGTCATTTTGAAAACGCAACATTTTCATTGCAACGAATAATCATTAATAGCATAGACCTGACGATCCCATTCATACTGGAATTAATTTAAAATACAGGAGTGGAAAAAAAGGAAAAGGTAGAAGCGCGCAGCATCAGTACCGCGCAGGCTTCGTTCTTCCAGCATCATCGGGGACAATCTCCATATCAGTACCGAAAATTTCGCACGGTGCAAAGTCGAGGGACCGTATCGTGCCGTTGAAATCATTACGCGGAAACCGTTCTCCCCCCCTCCGAGTTCTTCGTTTCTCCACATTTCTTCCGTTGTGTGTTCATTTTTTTACACTTATATACACATATATATGTCAGTGGGTACATATGCATGTATCACATTGCACAAGGGACTACACAATTGCCGCAGTTCCGGACGGGATAAACTTTAGCACGACCTTCTGTTGTTTGCCTTCTTAATTCAACAGAAACATCGGGATATCGATTCACTTTCCCGATGGCAGATCACGATAACATTTACGACGACGAGGTAATTAATTGATTCCCTTACATTAGCCTCGTACAATTTTTCCTCCCTTTTCTCTTTCACCCTCTCTCGCTCTCTCTCTCTCTCTCTCTCTTCACATTTCGAGAGTGGACGGAAAATATGAATATCTTAGATGTTGATAAATTATAAGAGGAAAATGTGTAATTAATTTGCAAGAATTATTTGAAGAATTATAATTGATCTCCACGTTGATTAGTTTTTTTTTCTTTTTTAAACAACACAATCAGTTGTAACGTGTAATGTGGTTTTGTAAGAAGTATCAATTTTTCCGATGCAGCGTAACGATTTTTCTGTTTTGTTATTAATAAACGGGTTTAAAGTGTGTTTAGAGTGGAAGAGGGTAATTTTTGCTTTTGGCGAGAAACTATACACTTTAACGGTGTCTTGCAAAATCAGAGTAAGATTTTATTGATCGTAATTTCGAAATTCTGTTGTTACACGAAGAAAATTTCGTTGTATTGCTTTTCATTGTAAGTGTCTTCTCCGTGATTGTTTCTTTTAATTGCGAAACATCGTGTCTGCATTTTTGCGTTAACAGAGAGAGAATTTTATTTCAATATCTGAATTACTGACAGAGGGAAAATTGTTAAACTTACGAATTTGAATATAGGTGATATGGATAGTGCTCTAAAAATGTGTGCTCAGCATTAATTTTCCGAGAATAAATAGAAATGAAAATGAGGGAAAGTTGCAACGATGCATCGACAAATTGGATATCCTGTTTCGTTCTTTAAATAAAAATTTGTTTATCAAAGAATTGTTATTGTCGTTAGAAATAGAGGTATGAAATAAAAACTGAAATATACTTCGCGTAATTTTTAACGAAGAATTGATTTAAAAAAATAAAACAATTTTCCTTGTAATTTATATACATTTTTCTTTTGCAATAAATATTTCACTGCTTCATTCTTTATCGATTTAGGGCGAAATACTTTAATTGAGTTTGCATTAAAAACGTAATATTTCTTTCTTCCTTCAATCCTCACAGTTGAATAGAAGAGATACAAGGAAAACATTTAACTTTCATTAATTACGTTCTTTGTATTCTAGTCTATACTAAGTACAAGTGTTTTTAAACATAACTGTTTAAAAGAATTTTGATTTATAGCCGTTCGTCACGTTGTTAAAATACCATAATATTCACTAAAAAGTCAATAAAAATTATTCAATAACAAACGAGAGCTACTTTTTAATTATTGTCATAAACATAATATTCGTTATGTGACACACGAATGTTTCTAAAAATGGCGTTTACTTCGTAAAGGGTATTTTTATAAATGAACAATAAATATGTTTATATGTATGGGAAAATAATAAAATTAGAAAAATTTTGATCAGTAAACGCAACCTTATTATTTGTATCTTACATACGCAAATTCGAAAAATATATATCTAAAAAAAAAAACGCGCTGTGCACAGTATTATTTTGTATATTTTATAGAATTTGATTTTTTGTTTAAACAACGTTTTAAAACAAATGTAATTTTACAGTTATTAAAATCAAGTTGTTTTATAAGTAAATGTTCAATGTTGTTTGCTGTTCTGTAATGAATCGAAGTTTAGTGTTACATCGAAAAATGTTATAATTCGATAGAAAAATTGTGCCACGATAAAAAATAGCAACGAGGTAGAAATTTTCGTACAAAATAGTTTTACCGTCAAATTTTTGCAAATTTTACAGTCGAACTTTTTATATATTTGAAACTGTTTTCATTTTAATATTATCGAGTCTTAACGAGGCAATCTTAAATAAAATAAACAGTGGAACGAATCCAGAAGAAATTAATTTTACATGTTATATTAATCTTTTTAATTCCGGACGTAAAATGAATTATTTTTATTTTACAAAATCGATAATTATCGTAAGAATAAATATAAAATGTTAGCATTGACCTACTGATAGACTTGAAAATTAATTATATTAATCGAATAAGTAATTACATTGTGATTTTTTTAAATAATTGTATTAGTAACTTATGCAAGGCTATTGTGTTTTTTTGAATTTTCTACGATATTCCAAATTTTTATGTTAAATAATTATTTTATG